TATGACCAAAAAAAATCATAAAGTCGTTGTACTAAAATAGTTTGCCTGTACTTTAATCTCTAGTTTAATTTTTTAAAACCTAAGTGGATTGACACAGGTTGTCATCTTCTATAATTTTTCTGTTCATGTTGCAGTGTCTCATTCTGTGATAACTCAATGTAATACCACCTTTGACCACTAACATTCACAGCGCACTTCTTAGGTCAGAAACTAGTGATGTTCGATACCAGGATTTTCTGTTCCGATACGATACCTGGCCAAATTCCTGCAAGTATCGGCGGTGTCGACACCAACACTGAAACTTTGTGCAAATACGCCTAATGTGTCAGGTAAACCTAAAAAAGGCAGTGTATTCAAATCAAAGCTGCATAAAGAATGCAAGACAAAGTAATTTATTTTAAAGTCAGGAGTATGTTGATGCAGTGGCCTCATTTAGTCTGAGCTTATAAAACAAAAGAAAATAACAGGACATCATACAAAGATGTGAAAATGTTTTTTCAAACAATAAAAATAAGAAAATTAGGAAAATCATGAAACTAATAAAATAAAGTATTAAATATCTATTAAATAATAAGATATGTTTGATAAGATGTTATATTTTGCCCATGTTTCGTAGTATATATTTTTCAGAGTTCACCAAGGCAGTTTTATCACCATTGCTCTGTATCATTTGATGACACCTGGTCCATGTAATCCACTTTAAATGATCTATTCTTTATGAAACCTTACCTGAATAAATCTGATTTTTTTTTTTTGCCCATGTGAGATTATCTCAGTGATACACATAGGCCTATTATTACTCCAAACTGGACTTATGGAACTATTTGTTGAAGCATGAATTTATTTTGTTACTTTAACCATGTGAAGCTTAAAAGAGATATGCGACCAAGATACCCAAATATTCATAGGAATCGGCAAACTCCAATCGGAACACCAATTGAGAATAAAATCAGATGAAGAACTGATGGGACCAACTTCCTGTTTGAAAAACCATCCCTTTGGTTTTATCGGCATTTAGGACAAGTTTGAGATGGAACAAATCTGACTGGATGATGTCAAATGCGGATTTCAAAAGCTGGAAAGCCTTATCAACTGTTTTAGCTCGACAATAAACAACTGTCATCAGCATAGAAATGTAAGGATGCATCAGGGATGCTCTGACCTACATTACCTATGTAGATTGTAAAGAGGCTGGGTCCTAAGACTGAGCCTTGTGGTACACCATTACTGACTGTTAGATAACTGGAAGAAATACCATTATGTTGAACACATTGTCTGAGAGATAGTTAGAGAACCAATCAATGGTGTGTTCTGAGAAACCAGTTTCTGAGAGTTTATGACACAAGATGTTCTGATCCACAGTGTCAGAATCTTTAGACAGGTCTAAGAAAAGTGCAGCACAATAACCCTTAGCATCCAGTGCTTCAACGATTTCATTAACAACCTTCAGTGAAGCAGTGGTTGTGCTGTGTTGTTTCCTGAAACCAGATTGATGTGGAGGTAAGATGTTAAATGAGTCCAGGTCATTTTTGATTTGAGAGTTTATCAGTTTTTCTAGAACCTTGGCTAAAATGCAGAGTTTAGAGATTGGTCCATAGTTGTTCAGTGAGGGGGGGTCACCTCCCTTCAGCAAAGGAAGAACAAAGGCTGTTTTCAAGTGTCTGGATGGAGTTTTGTCTCATGGAGAGATTGAAGATGTGGGTCAAAGGGACTGTGATGATATGAGCAGCCAGCCTTAAGAAATAAGGTGGAAGTTCATCTGGACCTGCAAATTTTTTAGGGTCAAGATCTTTTAACAGTTTATTGACCTCACTGACTGAGAATGGAGAAAAAGAGAAGCTGTGATTAACTGAGGATTGACTTGTAGGAGGGATTTGATTTGTAGAAGTTTGGTTATTAAGTGAAGTGGCTGATCTTCCATTAGTAACTGTGTCAAATAAAGAACCAGAAGCAACAAAATGTTTGTTGAAACAGTTCAGGATCTCGTGCTTATTTGACACAGGAACAGAGTTAACGAGAAGTTGTGATGGGAGGTCAGATGATTGGGGGGTGCCTGAGAGAGATTTGATGGTTTTTCAGAATCTGTTGGGGTCATTTAGATTTTTGGAGGTCTGAGATAAGAAATAGTTGCGTTTTGCTGCTTTGACAGCAGTTGTGCATTTATTCCTCATCTGTTGAAAACTCAACCAATCAGTGTCTGAGTCAGATTTTCTCGCTGCAGCCCAAAGATGATCTCTCCTGTGCAGGAGGTCAGCTAGCTCTGGAGTAAACCAGGGGCTGTCTCGTCCCTTTATTCTGAACTGACGAAAAGGAGCATGTAAGTTCAGAAAATAAATGAAACTATTATGAAAATAGTTCACGTCATCAGTTAACAGAATACGATGCCAGTGAAAGTGAGACAGATCCCAGAGGAATGACTGTTCACAAAAACATTTCAGATCCCTTTTTTGAATTAATCTGGGCTTAGGATGTGGAAGTTTAGTGTCTCTGAGAGCCGCTATTACACAATGATCACTCTCATTTCTCTGTTTTGTGCTCAGCACTAAGTCTGTGCTTTTGTACAATCGTCAGGCCCTCCTGAATATTCGACCTGTTGTTGGCAATCTCAATGCCTTTGATTATGGTGGACAGAAAACTTTACTCCCGCTCCTGTCAGGAGTCCCAGCTCATCTCCTCCGGGCACCTGCGCTACCCCCTCCACCCCCCGGCGGAAACGTCGTCGTTACCGCGGTAAACGTGGAGGACAGCTGGTGAAACTAAAGATCTGCCTGGCCAGTTCTACGTCCATTTCTCAGACAAGAAATGGATTATTTCTGTCTTTCGCTGTGCCGTGGCGTTTCCTGGATCTTGTTGACAGCTGCCTGCTATCTGTCACCGGCCTGGATGCGGGTGTTCGCCTCCACCCCTCCTGCTTCTCTCGGCTCTACCGGCCCGGAGTGAACCTGCAGAGCCTGAAGATGCTGCCCCGGGCCCTAGCGCCCGTCAGTTTACATGCTGTGGTTTCTACCAGGATTGGCCTGGTGGATGCCAGATCTCTGACAAACAAAACTTTCATCCTGCAGGACTTTTTCAGTTTCTGTCATTTGGATTTACTCTGCATCACATAGACCTGGGTCGAGGCTGATGACTCCAGTGTTTTTGTTGAACTTCAACCAGACGGCTGCTCTTATCTAAGCTCCCCTTGGATGTCAGGCCGTGGAGGAGGAACGGCGGTGGTTTATAAAAACAACTTTAAATGCAAGCAATGCTCTGCACCGTCTTCATTCTCCAGCTTCGAGGTGACTTTATTTGAGGTGGGTCGCTCACACCCCGTGCTGTGCGCTGTCATCTACAGAACCCCTAAATATAATAAGGATTTCTTGAATGACTTTTCTGATTTCCTGACTGGAATAATGATAAACTATGATTGAGTCCTTATTGTTGGGGATTTTAACATTCATGTATGTTGCCCAGAGAAACCACTGGTGAAGGACTTTCTCAGCCTCACTGACTCATTTAACCTGGTTCAGTGGGTTTCTGGTCCCACGCATGAACATGGACACACTTGGTTCTCTCTCACGGCTTGTCTGTGAATGACCTGGAACTATATGATAATGTGATTTCTGACCATAGGCCTGTTTTATTTGATGTTGGTTTGTCCTGTGCTCCAGTTAAATCCTGCGCTCCTGCCCAGCGACGTAAAGTTTTTAACCCTTCCACTGCTGGCCAGTTCTCTGCTGCCTTTGAACAGCTCTGTGCTCCCTCTGGCTCTGCTGCTGACACCGAACAGCTGAGCTCCTGGTTTGACTCCTCCTGTCAAACCATTTTGGACTGTGTAGCTCCATCCAAACTGGTGCGGCCTAAAGCCAGATCTGAACCCTGGTTTAATGAAAAAACTATTGCAGTCAGACAGGAGTGCCGCAGAGCTGAACGGAGATGGAAAAAAGATAAACTGGAGGTTTCATTTTACATTTTAAAGGACTGTCAGTACCAGAACACTGTTAAAGAGGCCAAAAAACAACACTTGTCAGACATTAGTGTCCAATCATAATAATCCATGTGTCCTTTTTAAAACTATTGACTCTGTCCTGAAGGCCCCGCAACCTGTCTGTCTGGAAGCCTCTACTGAACTTTGTAATGACTTCCTGCAGTTTTTTATAAATAAGGCAGTTACCACAAGGGCCCTTATTTCAGCCCCTGCTTTTGACCCCTCCTGCTTGGTCCCCTGCCTGGCTGTGTTTGATAGATTTGAACCAGTCACCCTGTCCCTTTTTGAGGATGTGGTCGGCCATATTAAATCATCAGGTTCTCCTTGTGACCTTGTCCCCCCTCGTCTTGTTCTGGAGTTGCACCGCTCCAGGTGGCTGCATGTTGGAGCAGCTCTGTTACTTTCATTCTGAGATTTTGCTTTTGGAAACTTTAATTCCTCTTTTTCTGTTGCTGCTCCAAGACTGTGGAACGATCTCCCTCTTCTCATCAGACGAGCTCCTTCACTGTCCAGTTTTAAAACTCTTTAAAAACACATTTTTACTCCCTGGCTTTTAGCACACACTGAATTTATTCTGCACAGTTTTTATTACTTTTATTGATCTTAATGTTTTAACAACTGTTTTTATGTGTTTAAATGTTCTTGATTTTATATGTACAGCACTTTGTGGCAGCTGTGGTTGTTTTAAAGGGCTTTATAAATAAAGTATTATTATTATTATTATTATTATTAATATTATTGTCATTGGTGTTGTTGTTGTCGTTGGTATTGTTGTTGTTGTTAGAGAGGTCAAAGGTCGAGAGCTTGTTCGATTGTTCCGTCTGGTGGGAGAGTCGATGAGTTGGATCAGATATTCAGATATCTGAGCCTGAACCGGTCCAGAATCAAACAGAACTTGGTGTTGTGGAGTCGGCCCTACTGGGAACAGAACCATTGAAAACGTAACAGAATTCAGAGCTGCAGCTGACACGGTTACCTGTCGGCTTCTCACATGAGCCCTGCTGCAGATACTTACACTCTGATTTTGTTTCAGAGATGGGACTGATGAAGATCTGGATCATGACTTGTCTAATGGACAGCACCTCAGCACAGGTAAACCCACAGCCGCTCAGGCTGACAGCAGGGACGTTCCAGCTCTGACAAGCAGCTGAAACAGGTTCATGTGTTTCCTGCTATCATTTCAATCTTCACAGCACACCGGATCAGAAGAACCTGATCCATCCAGTTCTGTACACTTCTTAGTACTGATAACATTGACATAGCTGCTGAAGATCCAAGCTGCACCTGTCTGACTGAAGCAGAGAGTTTCCATTGAAACAAACTGCAGAAGGTGTCACGAGGAAGTGGACAGGGTCATTTCCTGTAAGAGATTAAAAGTCATTAAAGAAGGTTCCTGTGGATCCAGTTAGGTGGGTCATCATGACATCAGCTGATGACGGGAACCAGACTCATTTGAGTGACATCATCAGTAGTACAATACAGCAGTAAAATAGACAAATACTACAGTAACTATAAAGAAATACTGCTGCAAAACCTCAAATACTACAGTAACTATTGAGAAATACTGCAGTAAAAACACAAATACTACAATAACTATAGATAAATAATGCAGAAAAAAGACAACTACTACAGTAACTATCAGGACTAAATTTGTAAACTGACTGATGCTGGAATGGGGGGGGGGGGGGGCGTGGGTCCTCTCAGAAAATGTTGAATAACAGATGCCGTTTTGTGCATTCTGGTGTATTTTAACATGTTGTTCTACAGCAACATTTGCCTGCATTTAAAAACACTTAATAAAATTAGTATTTGGAGAAGAACAGTAGGTTGTGTGTGAATAGAGCAGTTCTGATCCTGTCAGGTGTTCTAACCTCACCTCATTTCATGGTTCTGAGCTGAACTCTTCTCCTCTTGCTCCAGTCTCGTGGTGCCATTTGAAGCACCTGAAGGATTCAATTCTCGGTTGTCGAATAATCCATCCATCCATCCATCCATCCATCCATCCATCCATCCATCCATCCATCCATCCATTTTTAATTCAAGTAAATTGGACTGTCTTTTGGACATTTTGATCGTTGCTATTTTGACAAATTAGCGCAGTTGTTTTGAAACGTGACGTATAATGTGAATAACACATCCAATATCTTTGTATTTTTAATTTATTTTTTACAGTAAGCTTTTTTTATTTATCATGTCTGAAATGTAGCAGGAGTTCAGACACCTGCAGATGTTGTGTGTTGTTGTGTATAGATCTGTCTGCAGATGTTTCTGTGCATAACGTGCACTGTCCACAGGGCATTTTTTTATTCTCTTGAATAAATGATCGTTTCTGTTTCGGGGTCTGAGAGGGGGAGAGGGGGTGTTTTAAAGTGTGCGGCCGCTGAGGAGGGACAATATTTGGAGAGGAGGAGGAGAGAAGGACTCCGCGCAGCACCTCCGTGTATAAATGTGACTATCTGTCCCTCCATCCTCACCCCCCCACCTAGAGGCTCCTCTCCTGCTCCTCCAAGGAGCATGTACAGTAGCTGGTTTGCCGCACGTGCTGCGACTGGAACATCCACTCCACAGACTGAGTCTTCCAGGCTGAGGGCAACGTCTCCTCTCGTTGTATTTTTAATAAATAATCAAAATAAAAATGCACAATGACTTTGGACTTTTAGAGGTGGAGCTGCCAGATCCGATGAAAGACTTGCCCAAACAGAACGGGTCGAAATGAGAGAGTTCCTGCATCTTGTTCCGGCAGGATCCGGCTCAAATTAACCACTGGTAACTATAGAGAAATACTGCAGTGAAAATGATAAATACAGTGTCGCTCGCTACTTCGCGGTTCATTTATCGCAGACTCGCTCTATCGTGGTTTTTCAAAATAGGAATGGGCATGACACACAATGGGCTGATTTTTTTCATTCAACCTTTAATTCTACAGGTTAATCCCATTGAACCTCGATGACTCATTTACAAGAGAGACATGATTTAGTAAAGAATGATGACAACAATGGACAACAACAACAACAGACGGTTATAAAAGAGGCATACAATTTTAAACTTTTTTTTTTTTACAAATCAAAACAAAATAGCAACCAAAAGGACAGTCAAAAGGAAAAGTAGCTAAAAAAAAGCTAGATTATAAAGCGGTGTAGAAAACTAAAAACAGGAACATCTGCATGAGCTTATCAGATGTTTGAAGTCACAGATGTTTGATGCTGCAGATGTTGGATGCTGCAGATGTTGGATGCTGCAGATGTTGGATGCTGTCTATCATGGTGCACTAAGATTCATAACTGGCTGTAACTACCGTACCCACCACTGCACCCAGTATTCACTGGTTAACTGGTCACCATTAACTTCACACAGACTCTCCCACTGGTACATTTTCATCTTTAAATCACTTCCTGGTCTGCTGCCTTCATACATCTCCTCCTACATGTCTCTGTGTGAGTGCAGCTACAGCGTGCGCTCTCAGGACATCATTACCTGCAGTGTTCCCTCAGTGAGGACTGAACTAGACAAAAGGACCTTCTCCTACTCCGCTCCTGTTTCCTGGAATATCTTGTAAAAAGATCTGAAGCTCTCGACCTTTGACCTCTCTAAGTGGCTTCAAACATCTGTTCAGTTCCTGCAGATGTTCCTGTTTTTAGTCATTTACACCACTTGGTAACATAGCTGTTTTATATGTATATATAATTTATTCTATTTACCTTTCATTTAAAAAAAAAAAAAAAAAAACCTGCAGTATGACTTTTTATAACTGTTTATTGTTGTTGCTGTTGTCCATTGTTGCAATTTTTCTTTGTTGAAATCAGGTCTCTCTTGTAAATGAGTCCTCGAGGCTCAATGAAACGAACCTGTAGAAATATAACTTGAATTGGAGCAGAAAAACTCTTACGTCCGTATGCTCTTTGTGGACTTCACATCCGCCTTCAACACCATGATCCCCCAAACCCTGATGGACAAACTATCCACACTAGGACTAAGCCCCTCCATCTGCAACTGGGTCCTAGACTTTTTAACAAACAGACCACAGTTAGTGAGGATCCACAACTTCTCCTCCTCCACCATAACCCTCAGCACTGGCTCTCCTCAGGGATGT